TACAATGTTTTGGTCCTCACTATTGTATTTTTCATTTATTTTTTTAGTTTTTGGCTTAAATATTCTACTAAGTATACATTTGTTGCTCAATAAATTATATGTCACATCCCGGCCCGGGTCCACCACATTCCGGGCCCGTTCCACTACCGTAGCACGATATTGTCCGCTTTGGGCTTACCATTCTCTCACGGTTTTGTTTTTGGGAACTTACGAGCAACTTCCCAGTAGGTCACCCAAAAACAAAACCGTGAGGGAATGGTAAGCCCAAAGCAGATAATATCGTGCTACGGTGGTGGAACGGGCCCGGAATGTGGTGGACCCGGGCCGCGATGTGACGATTGGTATCATAGCCAATCCTTGGCCGGAAGTGTGTCGACGAGAACGTCGGGCCCCTAAGGGGGTGGATTGTGACATCCCACATCGCCCAGGGGAGTGATCCTTAAATGTATATTCCCATCCTTATCTAGCACAAGGTTTTTTGGGAGCTTATTGGCTTCGGGTTTCGTAGGAACTCAGAAGTTAAGCGAGAATGAGGCCAGGTCACTCCCAAGATGGGTGACCCACTGGGAAGTTGCTTGTGAGTTCCCAAAAACAAAACCGTGAGGGAATGGTAAGCCCAAAGCGGATAATATCGTGCTACAATGGTGGAACGAGCCTAGGAAATGGTTCCGCCCTGGGCCGGAATGTGACATTATAAATCTCTTCCAACCACCTTATAAATTTCTCCTTAGTTCTCATGGAAAATATTTCACGGAAATAAAAAAATTTCATTTTTCACAAAAAAAACGTTGGTTAACAACTCACGATTTTTAGTCGGTTTTGCAAATTCGAACATAAATCATTGTTCAAACTATTTATTTTCACCTTCGCCTCACTGTAAAATTTGAAAAATTAGGATAAGACCTTCTGTTGAGATTCTTGAGGGTGGAACCCCATTTGACAATGTTTTGGTCCTCCCTATTGTATTTTTCACTTATTTTTTTAGTTTTTAGCTTAAATATTCTACTAAGTTTACATTTGTTCCTCAATAAATCATAAAACTGCTTCCAAACACCTTATAAAGTTCTCCTTAATGCTCACAAATTTTTTTTGTGAAAATAAAAAAATTTGTATTTGTCCACAAAAAAAAAAACGTGGGTTAACACTCACGATTTTTAGTTGGTTTTGCAAATTCGACATAAATCATTGTTCAATGTATTTATTTTCACATTCGCCTTACTGTGAAGTTTTGAAAATTAACGTGAGATTTTCCGTTGAGATTCTTGAGTGTAGAACCCCATTTGACAATATTATGGGCCTCACTACTAAATTTTTCACTTTTTTTTTCGGCTTCAATATTCTACTAACCATACATTTGGTTCTCAATGAACCGTAAAACTACTTCCAAAATTCTTAAAGGGTTTAACTTAATGCTCAAGAAAAATGTTTTGATAAAATAAAAAATCTGCATTTTTGTCATGAAATTTTGAAAATTAAGGTAAGACTTTCCGTTGAGATTATTGAGGGTGGAACCCCATTTGACAATGTTTTGGTCCTCACTATTGTATTTTTCACTTATTTTTTTAGTTTTCTGCTTAAATATTCTACTAAGTTTACATTTGTTCCTTAATAAATCATAAAACTGCTTACAAATTCTACTAAGTATACATGTGTTGCTCAATAAATCATAAAATCGCTTCCTAACACCTTATAAAGTTCTCCTTAATGCTCCAGGAAAATATTTTGTGAAAATAAAAAATTTGCATTTTTCCCAATAAAACGTGGGTTATTTTTTTAGTTTTTGGCTTAAATGTTCTACTAAATATACATTTTTACTCAATAAAACGTAAATCTACTTCCAAATACTTTATAAAGTTTTCCTTAATGCTCGCGGCAAATATATCGCAAAAATAAAAATTTGCATTTTTGACAAAAAAACGTGGATTAACACTTACGATTTTTGGTCGGTTTTGCAAATTTGTACATAAATCATCGTTCAATATATTTATTTTCACCTTCGCCTCACCCTAAAATTTGAAAAATTAAGATAAGATTTTCCGTTGAGATTCTTGAGGGTGGAACCCCATTTGACTATGTTTTGGTCCTCACTATTGTATTTTTCACTTGTTTTTTAGTTTTCGGCTTAAATATTCTACTAGGTGTACATTTGTTGCCCAATAAATCATAAAACTGCTTCCAAACACCTTATAAAGTTCTCCTTAATGCTCATGGAAAATATTTTGCGAAAATAAAAAATAAGCATTTTTCACACGTTTTTTTAGTCGGTTTTGCAAATTCGTATATAAATCACCGTTCAATATATTTATTTTCACTTTCGCCTCACTGTGAAGTTTTGAAAATCAAGGTGCAACTTTTCATTGAGATTCTTGAGTGTAGAACCACATTTGACAATGTTTTGGGCTTCACTACTATATTTTTCACTTATTTTTTTGTTGCTCAATAAATCATAAAATCTCTTCCAAGCACCTTGTAAAGTTCTCCTTAATGCTCATGAAAAATATTTTGTGTTTAGTTGGTTTTGTTAATTCATACATAAATCATCATTCAAAATATTTATTTTCACCCTCGCCTCACCGTGAATTTTCAAAAATGAAAGTAAGACTTTTCGTTGATATTCTTGTGGGTGGAACCCCATTTAAGACTTTCTGTTGATATTCTTGTAGGTGGAACCCCATTTTAACAATGTTTTGGGCCTTACTACTATAATTTTTTTACTTATTTTCTTAACTTTTGGCTTAAGTATTATACTAAATATACATTTAATTCTAAATAAATCGTAAAACCACTTCCAAATGGTTTATAAAGCTTTTCTTAATGTTTGCAGAAAATATTTCACGAAAATAAAAAATTTGAATTTCAAAATAAACATGAGTGTTAGACGGACACCGTGCACGTAAAACAAGACAAATCTGTGCGCACGGAAAGCGAGGTGAACCTGCAAGCTCTACACACGAAAAATAAGGCCATCTCCACGAAAAATAAGGCCATCTCCAACCGAAGGGTCCAGAGGGCTAGAGGGCTGAAAATAGCCCTAAAACCATCTCCAACCGAGGGTTAGGCCAGAGGGCTCTGGAATCTGCGAGGGCCCCACGGGATCGGAGAGGGCTGGAGGTGGCTGGCTATTTTTTTTTTTAATGTTTCCTATAACCAACACTAATAGTTTGAAATGTTTTTTAATGTAACGGCTAGCTGAGTCAGCTAGCCGTTGGTTTTTTTTTGTTTTTGTTTTTTTTTTAATTTATTTTAAACATTTTTTTCTTCTATAAATATGGTGAAGTTCTTTCAATTCTTCACTTCATTTGCAATATTTCCTTCTTCAATATTTTTCAATATTTCCTTCAATATATTTTCTCAATATTTCCTTCAATATATTTTCTAATATTTCCTTCATCTATAATATTTGTTTCAATTTTTCAATATTTATTTCAATATATTTTTCCAATATTTCCTTCATCTATAATATTTGTTTCAATATTTCCTTCATCTATAATATTTCTTCATTTCATTTGCAATATTTCCTTCATTTTTTTTCAAAAAAAATGGCCTCATCTGCAATGAAAGGTAGGGCTTGGACCCGAAAAGAAGATGAAGCTCTTTGCAAGGCTTATAGATGGATCTCAGAAGATAGTGTGAGGGGGATTGCTCAAACAAGTGAAGGTGTTTGGACTCGTGTGTCCAAAAAATACTTAGAGTTCTACGAAGGCACCATTCCACCGAATACCCGAAACCACGAAAGTTGTTCTTCAAGATGGAAGAAACATCTTCATCCAAGTTTGAATAAATGGCATCAAGCACTATTAGCAGCAGCAAGTAGACATGAAAGCGGCGCCAATTACTATGACGAAGTTAGTGTTTTTACAGTTTATTTTTAAATGTTTAATTATATTACATTAATTTCGTGAATTAATTTCCTAAAATTTTTTTAATTATATTTTCTAGGTACGCCAAGCGGAGGAATTGTATATGGAGGGCAGCTCAAAACCCTTTCAGTTTCACGGTTGTTGAGAAATTTGTAAAGGGTGGGTGTTATTTGAAGATCCACCTCAACATAGAGTGGATTCTTTAGAAGCTGCATCCCCATCTGTAGATATGAATGAAGCTGGATCTCCTACCATTCAACAAACAAGGGTAGAAAATCCGACTCCGTCTCCGTCCAAAATTTCTTTACCTAGGGCTATGGGACGAAACAAGGCCCGAAGGTTGAGGGAAAAGGGCAAGGCAAATGCTGATTACGCCGCTCAACATGAAGTGGCGGCCTCATTTCGATTACTGGCGGAGCAAAATGCCCGTGAGGCGGAAGAAAGGAAGTGTAGACATGAAGAGCGAGCCAAACAAATACAAGAAGAGATGGATGATAAGAATATGGAAAGGAACACTTTGAATTACACTCCAATGAGTAAGGCCTATTTTGATAGGAAAAAAAAAGAAATTATGGCTCGGTGGCAATTATTTACCTCTGACTATACTCCTACAATGGCGGATGATGAAGATGATATTGATTATGGATATTAAATTTAAGTCGTAATTTTTAAATTTAAGTTAATGTTGTTTTTAAATTTAATTTGTAGTGTTTAAATATAAGTTGTTGTTTTTAAATTTAAGTTGTTGTAGTTTTTAAATTTAAATAATAAATTATGTTTGGCCCTATGGCCCTTTGACCCTCGGTTGGAGACGGTTTTTTGTGACAGGGCTAAAACGAGCCATTTGGCCCTCTGGCCCTCGGTTGGAGACGGAGGCAAATATAGCCATGTACTGTTCATTAAAATATTAATATCTTGGGGAATCTTGGAGGGCCAGAGAGCTCAAATGAGCCCTCTGGCCAGCCTTCGGTTGGAGATGGCCTAAGACATGCAAAACGAGGCAAGAAACGTCGCGCAAACTGTGGCCGGCTCGGCCTAAGAAAAATGCAATACGAAACGAGACAGGCCGGCGCACGGAAGTGAGGCCCATACACACCCGGGCTTCCAATAAGCCTTTTGACCCGATTAACTAAACTTTGTCGCACGCCCCTCTGTTTCTGTCCGTCTCTACCATTTTCACTGTTCTCTCTCTCCTTTTCTCTCCCTTCAGCGTGAGCAGTCGGAGGAGCACTCAGAAATGGCGTCCAGTCTATTTAGAACCCTAATCAGATCGTCCAAATTGGGATCAGCAGGGACCAGAAATTTCAGCCTCGTCAGGACTCAAATCAGCGAGCACACCGCCAAATGGATGCAGGTACCTCCTCCCTCCTCCCTCCTCTTCTATCTTTATCTTTGCCCTAAAATTGATTGACTATGAAATTAATCGACTTTAATCGTTATCTCCTTTAATTAGTACAAAAGTTTACATTCATCTAATCTTACGGTGCGAATGAATCTGTTTTTCCCTTATACGATAATCCAATCTTTCATCAAGTAAAAATGGAACAAAGATATTGATTTTGTGTGTGATTAGACAATCAATATATTGATTTTTTTTCACTAGTATTGATTAGATTTTGCATGTTTTAATTCAAAACTCGGTGGAATATTGTTTAGTTTATATTTATTATAACTTAATTTGGCAATTTTCTTTATTTGTACCAATTAACATTGCTGAACAAACCCTTGGACGGCATGCTGTAATGGATAGATGTATATTATATATATGTATGTGTCCAGTTTCCTCTACCAATGCTGACTGAAAACCTTTAAAGCAACAAGAACTGAATTTCAAAAACTTTTTTGGATTTCCAATCCCAATTCCCATGACCGACCTTGTTTGTTATCATTGCAATAAAGGTAGTAACCAACAATCTAGGGAGACAGCGAGCGTAGGAATGATTTAGCAGGAAATGAAACAGATATGCCAACAAAACTAGATTGAGGAAGCAACTGTAACTGGGTGTGTATGTGTGCACTTGTGTATCCTGCATTTCAATGAAAACATCGATCAAGTTCTCAGCATCTTTTACTCAACCAAGACTTGTTTCGGCTCCAATGACGTGACCAGCCTACTTTTAGAGCAATGACTATGTTATATCCACAAGCTTCTACTGGCGGCGTTTTCCTATTTACATTTATAATGTCTCTCTTTCTGGGCGTCTATTTCCAATGTTACAAAAACCGTTTTGATTTTAATGTCGTATTGATTACAAGGTGCGAGTCATTGTGGTTCACTGTTCTTAACTGATAGGATACAAGCAAGAAATCTCCCATGGAGTTGATCAATGAAGTCCCACCCATCAAGGTTGAGGGCAGGATAGTTGCATGTGAAGGAGGTTAGTTTACATTATTCTTTACCTAGTTTCTTTTATGATTATCCAGCACAGCTACTTGTGCATTTGTATGCTGCAAGATCTGCTCAATAAACCATGTAGACAAGGGCTACAATTTACTTGGGTAAAACTGTTCTTGGTTGCAGACACCAATCCCGCACTTGGGCACCCAATTGAATTCATATGCCTTGACCTGGATGAGCCAGCTATCTGCAAGTACTGTGGTCTTCGATATGTGCAAGATCACCACCACTAGAAAATCTGGAAGTGATTATTCAATGAGCAAATTTCATTCCTGTTATGTCCGTACCTTCGTTGAAGCCATTTCATTAACAAGGTTCAGTTTGTAATGATAATACTGTGTTTCCTAATTTGGCAAAATAAGGATTTGGCATGACGCCATTCGTGTTATTCTTCAGGCATGGAATGCACATCTGCACGTCATTTGTCTGTCATTTTTGTTACCTGATTTACAATATGTTTTGATGAGTTGTTTGTCACTTGCAAAGATGGTTTTTGGGTGTTCATGATAGAATACCAACGAAGAAATATTGGATTGTTGTGTAACTCTTGTTGCTCCGGGATGATTGATAGGGCCCCTTGCTGAACATTTTTGACAGGAGCTTTGAAGTGAAGCACACAACGCCCAAGTAAGGCAGTGCCAATTTCCGATCATAATTTTATGGCCAACGCGTATTGTTTTATCAGTCATTCCGCTTACTTTCAGAGAGCTTTGGCGTTCAAGATGATGAACGGTATTTTCATTGTTGTTGCTGTTGGGATTAAGCGCATCATGGATACCAGCCGGTTAAAAGGTCGTACCCAGTGCACAAGGCTCCCGCTTTACGCAGGGTCTGGGAGAGGTGAATGTCGGCTAGCCTTACCCCCATTTATGGATACCAGCCGGTTAACGTCTCAAAAAAAGCCCTCCATTGATAGGGGGCAAATAATGAATAACATCATTTGTTCATGCTCAAAATTGAAAAGCCAGGCTTGTGTGTGAATCTCTCTCCAAACAAAAGTTAAGGTCAGCCTTATCTCTAACCGGCTTACTAACTTAATAGCAAGAAGACTGCCTGCCGCTGGACACGCTATCTTACTACACGCTACCTTTATCTCCAGCCGCAAATTTTCTTCTCTGTTGATGCTCAGCAACCTTGTAGTCTACAACTTCACGAAATAGGCTCGGATCAAGCACACAATCCTTACTCCCATAAACCGCAGCTTGGATACTCGCCATTAGTTTCGCTATTTCTCTCCCAGAGAACCCGTCGGTCTTTGCCGCTGCTTCTCTAATCATATCATCTGTCAACCCCTTCATCTCTATCTTCTGAGGTTGTTTCTTAAACAAATTACGGAACCAACCAGATTTGCTTGATGAACCAGCCTGAGCAATGTACTTGTCCAGATACAACTTCAGCAGCTTAAAGCGTTCCTCTTCCCCAGGCAAGGGGAATTCAAGCACTTCATCAATACGATCAGCCACAGCTGAATCGAGATCACCGGGGCGGTTTGTGGCAAGGGCAAGGACTATGTCCTTGGATTGGTCACCCGTGCGGAATAGGAGAGCGTTGAGCGCACTTCTTTGAGCTTCACTCATATAGGTTTTGTTCCGCCTGCAAGTTATGTTATACACATTCAACCCTCTCAATCACACAGAGACTGAAAGTTCTCTTCTACGAGACTCAAAATTAAAAACACCATTTTCATGGCTGTTAATTGAATGACTTACTCGCACAAAAATGCATCGGCTTCATCAATGAAAAGTAGCAGACCCTTCCGTGACTTTTTGGCCCAATCAAATAACTCATGTATCTTGGTAACAGCCCTTGGTCCAAGTGGAGCAACATCCCCTCCCGTCATCAATGCGTAGTCTAATCCCTAAAGACAATTTGAATCAAGCATAGAAACGTATGAGAAGGAAGAATATGTTAAGGATGAAGGATGAAAATAACACAAAAGCTGGTAGATCAAAACCATCTGAGTATGAATGGACCCATCACAGAACATGCAAATCATATAAAAACACATTTAAGCATGCAAATCATATACACAGTTCTAGAAAATTATTTCATGTTAAGGGCCAGTAACTACTTTCCTAAATAACAGCACATCCAGGAGTGCTCAATATTGTCTGGCAAAAGAAGCAACAGAATGAAAATCAAAACTGAAAACGTGATTGGTTTAAAGATAGGATCAGATCTCATACAGATTTACGAGCCATCTCTCTAGCAGCCATTGTTTTCCCAGTTCCTGGAGGACCATAGAAGAGCATATTTCTGAATGGTGCTTGATGAGATTTTGTATTAGCAGTTGCCTTAGCCAAGTGGTCAATTCTTTTCTGAAGAGGAGGGTGTAAAACAACATCACCAAAGGCCTTCCCATTTTGTGTTTGACCTTTGTTGCCACTGGGAGATAGGGCGCTTATAGAACGTGAGAATAATCCTGACCAAGGGTATTTTCCTTTAGAGGACTCTCTGATAAGTGATGGTTGTCCCAATATTCTATCCACATAGCTCCATATCACCTTTGAACCTTCTCTGCATTGGATAAATAAGACGTGCATAAGTTATGGCACTGTGGAGAGCAAATGGCAAGGTAAAATTAATATCCCACACAAATTATTTCACGAAGGTAGACTGTAACCTGCTATGACTTTAAATGCAACTCTATCTCTGTGAATCAAATGTCAGACCAGAATAAAAAATAAAAATAAAAAAAACTAAGTTCCAGAACTTAACAGTTCATGGCATTTACTAAGGGAATAACCAACTATAGAGTTTCATGTCCTAGGGAGTTGGTCCCAGGGGAGAGAGAGTAAAATGCCAACAAAGCTTTTGTTTTTTTTCCTTCCTCCACAAAAACAAACAGAAGTTACTAAGAAAATTAAGAGAAGATGTACCAGGATATAGAAAGCAACAAATAGATCCCTAGCTTTCAAAGGAAAGGCCACAAATAGGTAAAGGGAAAATGCAGTATTTCAAGTATTCGTTTAAAATATCAACACAGACCTTGTTGTGTAAACACCTGCAGCTAGAGCTGTAACTCCCCCAACAGCAACAACTAGTTTATTCTGATCTGTCAGAATCACTTTCAAGCCACCTGCAGAAAATAGCTAATTCTGCATCAACAGTTTTTTAAGAAATAACATTAACTTTCACTACTTCAAACTTCAAACGAGTATATGATGCCAAATAGAAGAGCCGCCCATTTTTAGTTTGAAGAAGAATCATACTTCTTTGTATAGAATACAGGAAAAGGTAATGAGTATGGAAAGTACCTCCAATATGATCAAAGGTGGTATTTATGGCAGAAACCCATTTCTCTTTCTCAGCTTTTGCTTTCTCTAACAGCAGGTCCCTTTTAATTTCTGCAGTCAGCTTTGCTTCAAGGGCTCTCCCTTCTGCATCTGCCAAAGCCTTCTTTTCGAAATTTTCACGTTCTAGCTTAGCCTGCTCCTCTGCAGTCCGTCGACGCTCATGTTGGATCTGCGCTTCTGTTTGTCGACGAGCTTGTTCCAGCCTATTTGCTGATTCTTCTTGCCATTTTACCATCTCTTGGTTCCTTTCTCTTGCCAATCTATTTTCATTCTGCAGTAACATCAACGAATTAAATCTAGAATTGAACTTCGTTTTCTGAAAAGCTTGTGTGAAATCCCAAGAAAAGTTCAAGTCAGCTTGCCTCCATCCTCTTCTTTGCTAATTCATCCTGATACCTAGCCATTTGGGAATTTGTTTGGGCTTGAAACTGAGCTAGCTTTTTCTGCTCCTCGTAGATGGCCTTCTTAGTATCCTGTCAGGTGATGATGAAGTCGATAATTGCAGCAAAAACTTATGCCAGATAAATCAAATGGGGAGTTTACAAACATATAGCCTATAGGGTGTTACTAATCCAAAAACACCCTAATTGGGGAAATAAGTAGAACATCTTACCGCTTCAATTTGGGCTTTCATTGCAGCATACTCCGCGGCCTTTGCCTTCAACTCAGCCTGCCTTGTCTCTTCATGCTTCACCGTAGCTCCAATGACCTATGCAGTGGCCAAAGAGCAACCATTAAAGAAAACATCAATTCACGGAAAACCATCAAAACAAAAGAGCTGCTTGGTGAAATTTCAAACACATCCTGTTACTTCTCTCTAAGCAAAAACATGGATAAAGTATAAGACGAACTAAATGGCATACCCCATTGCTACATACATTCCAACGTCTGAATTTAGACATGAACCATCAATACTAAAATTCCAATTGCTATCAAGCAACTAAATAACAAATAGAGCCCGTCAATAAAAGCAGAAGATCAAATCCCAAAATCCCAATTAAAAACAACACATATAATTTCCGAAAAAAAAATGCAAACCTCTTTGGCATTAGAAGATTTGGCGATTTTGTCCAACAACTTAGCAGCCCGCTCCAGAGGCTCAGGATCGAAGCCAGCGGCAGATGTCCTGGGTTGATCATTGCGAACCTTGGGAGGGGGAGGGGGCTCGGCAGCACCTCCGGTGGAGGAGGTCGACGGCGGAGGAACTGACGGCGCAGATTGGAGAGGAGAAGAAGTGGAGGAGGGTTGTTGGGAAGCATTGGAAGAAGAAGAAGAGAAGGGAGAGAAGTTGAAAGGCCCGTCGGCATAAACACAGTTGGAGTTGGTCTTGGACAAGGAGGCGGAGGCCGCCACGGCGGCGACAAGCCCTAATGCATATGTGGGCTTGGCCATTTTTGCAATCCCTTTTTGGGGGTTTCCAGTGAAAAGTAAAACCCTTTGGAATTAATTGGATCCTTGGAAGAGAGAAATGGGAGGAGGGTTTTAGAGAGGTTTTGATTAATTTATATTTGTTGGGAGAAAAATGTTGTCTTGATGACCAAGAAAATCAACCTATCTAACACTCTCTCTCTCTTTCTCACGTGGCTCTTCTTTTCTAACCATGGAAAGCGGTAGAGAGTTCAGACTCTCTCGGTTGAGGGTTTTTGTAGGGTTTGTGCGATTGGGGACTCGGGCGGGGCAAGCGACCGGGTGTTTGCTTGTTTCTATAATCTAGGCTTCTCAGATGTTTAAGTGGCCAGGCCTCTGTCTGTTTCTGCAAGATCTCTGAAAGCCCAGCCCAGCCCAAATTTTGTTGTCTCACTCTCTTTTCTTTTGATAAAGTGATATTTTAAATTACTCTAACACGGGAGGAAATTCGAAGAATTATAGAATTCAAATAGATCAAATATTTTCCAAAATGAAGCTAAGGTTTTAACCTAAATTCAACACATCTCTTCACATGTGAGTTCATTTAAGTTTGACATGTGGACGAGGATAACATAAATTGGGCAACCTGTGAGCACGGGGTTCACTAGGCTCAATTTAATATGTTATAATATCATGAAGTCAGTTGTGGTTCCACTCTAAAATCACTATCCAAATTTCTTATAGGCATATGTAAGGTCTCTTATTTCTCCCATATGAGATTTATTCTCT